TATCCTTAAATCGTATGCATACCTGCAAGCCCGTCACTCTGAGGCAAACTGGATATGCCAGGGATAGATTCCGGGCTAACTCCAATGGTTGACGCTGCGATAATCAATCATTCATTGGTCAGATAAAATATCAGGCAAGAGGAAGAAAATCAGATATATACCGGTAGATGAATCGTTCCCGAAGAATGGTCTCTCGGTCCCTCTGGAAGTCTGCTCAGCCAGCATGTCAGCTAATAAGCCGGCATCCGGCTTCGAGAAGCTTGGCCCCTCCATCGCAACATCTGCAGGGTAACCTGAATGTTGAAAGATGGGGAAAGCTCGAACGAGAAATCTTCCTTCACCTTGCATAAGGAAAATGACATTCCAAGGACCCGTCATGAAGAGCATCACACATTTGTTGCACAAAGCAATCCATGTTGTCAACACCAGGGGACGCCGAACCCGGTGGGAGTTCACCCTCTTCGAAGAAACCTGGAGCACAAAACATGGTTACAAATCCCAAAAGGTAAACAACCTTGAAGCAAGAGCAATCGAATGTTACCTCCCCCTCCATCGGCGTTGCTCCCTAAGTCCACTCCACAGGGACGCCGATCGTCATGGGGCTTATGGGCGGTCTTCTTCCTCTTCGGGGCACCAACCCTCCGAGGGCCAACGGGTCGAACATGCGCAGGCCTATCACACGTTTCAACGTGTGTAGGAGCTGGTGGCTCATGATCATTGGCTGCCCTACCTAAAGTGACAATAGCCATTTCAATGAAAAAGAGCTGTCATTTATGGAAAATGAAAATTAAAAGAGACAGGACAAACCAGTATCGAGATCCCCTCTGCCGGTATCTGCATCCACATACTCTTCCTCGGAGGTCTCATCATCATCATCCGTAGGGAGGAGCTCTTCTTCGTCTGTGAGAAGAGATTTGGCATGCCCTTTTTTCCGCTTCCGAGCAAGCTCAGCCTTGCGAATCGCCATCATAGCAGCCCGGACCGCATACTCGGACTGCAACTCTGAGAGGCTCTTCACGCTGATGGACTCATAGGCAGAAAGCAACCACTTGCAGCTGAGGAAAGTGATCAGTGGCTTACGCCTATACGAAGGAAGAGCAAAGCGAGCTCCAGTACATCCCACCATCGTCCATAGCCACGCTCGTACGCCATCAATCAATCCTCCCTCAACCTGAAGGCTACGGCTCGGATTCCCAACATACAGTTGGTCGTAACCGAACTGGCGAGCAAAGCGGCAAGGGAGATAAGGCTCTATGTAGCACTGGTTCTTCACCCGGAGGACAAGATATCCAACACGGATGTTCACTAGCCACCGGAAACAACCAGCATCGAGAATAGTCCGATCGCTTCTGGGTTTCTCCTCATCAACCAGCGCGTCGCCATAGCGACCTGAAAAATGAGGGAAACACTTAAAGAATTCCCAACTCTTGCGGACTCGAAGCTCTTGCTGCACATCACTAAACTTGTTCCCGAGCCATCTGCTCTTCTCCAACAGCTGTATGAAGGGGACGGGGATGTCAACAACACTGGGCGCTGACATCAAGTCAGGACGGTGAAGAACGAACCACGCCATCAGATATGCATAAGGGAGCTCAACCTTCGGACAAACAAGCTCAGCTGATGGTGCAGAGCCCATATGTGTGAAACTACTGACCAGACCCCTGAGCCCGCAATGGATGCTAGCAACCATTGCTGGGAGCAGGGAAAGCTCTCTCCCGTAGGCTAGCTGAACTGCAGGGAAGAGCACCTCGATGGGTAGAGCGTCTGAAGACTGATGCGGGACGACACACTTCTTCAACCAAAGGGCGAGATAGCCTGCTAATAGAGTCCGGGGCCCAATGGACTTCTGGGCACGGCGGAGAAAAGAGCGAAACTTGGTCCCCGCGGGAAAAGTTCCCTCAGCACTGGCAATAGTGTAAGATTGAGCCTCAGTCTTCTCCAGCAACTCATTAACCGCAGAAGGGGACAATATATCTAGCTCATGAACAGACTCGTCGGAGTTACCCTCCAAGTTCTGGAACAAATAGCAGGCAAACTGCTTCAAACTGACCTGCCTCTTCCTCTTCGCTTGAGGAGAAGTCTGAACCAAGGAGGTGTGATAATGACAGGTAAGATCCCAGAGAGTGTCATACATGTCGGGAGTATCTTTCTTCATACACTCCAGCTGTTGGTTCGAGGGGAAATACTCCTGATACGGACAATCTCCCATCGGAAGACCCGAAACATAATGCATCTCATGCAAAGCTAGCCCTAGCTCACCACCACTGGTCAGAAAAGTGTTGCTGTCAGGCATGTAGGTCTCCAGCAAAGCCAAGAAATGGCGACAGCTGACTGGGATTCCGTACATAGTAGCTCGTATGGGCACGTACAACCCACTGCTCTTCAGATCCCTCTCCCAGCGCGCCAAGACGAAATCAGTCATGCGAGCCCACCACCCTTTGGCTAGTGAGGAAGCCCAGCCATAGCATCTGAACTCTACTGAAGATAACCGTCTCCCCAAAAGAGCCAGACGATTACTCACAGTAGAGGCAGCTGCTGACACCTCGCCTGGGGGTGCAGTGTCAAGGCCCATAATCCCGGGTCGAAGACCACGAACGTCAGGATACCCGTTAGAGCCGGGGGTCTTGTGGTGAGTGACATATCCGCACTGAACCCGCTCAGCATCTTCAGTAAGAGGCCAAGACATCTGCCTGTCCACGGCCTGCCCCTTCAAGTGACTGAAGGAATATTGGCGTGGAATCGAAGGGATGTACAAACAAGCTCCACCATCAAAAGTCAGCCAGTGCTCCTCTTCAAGAGTCAATATAGCGGGGTCCTCAACATGATCCCCGAACAAGAAGCTCGGCTTCTGTAAAGCCTGAGTGGAAGTAGAATCAGCGGTAAAGGTGGCGTCTGTGATAAGCTGGCGCAAGCAGTGGCGCCCTCCTTCCCGTACTAAGCGACAAGATTCATCTGAGCGACCTCTATCGAATCGAGGAAGTGGGCTAACAGCCTGTCTAAGGGAAGCCGAAGAGAAGACCCCCCGACTACAACCGGTGTTGGCGTGAGGAGGAAGACTACCCGAGGGGAATTCCACTGCAATAACGCACAAGGGTGGAGTCAGAAAATTCATAAGAAGAATGATAGACTCATTCACGGAATAATTGGAGAGACGATTTTGAGCGTCCTACACCGGAAGAACGGTATGCATCATCACGTGAATAACGTGGTGACATACACCGACCTATAAGGCGTAGGACGACACAAAATCGCCCCAATATACCGAAGACTTGAATTGGCTAAGCAAAACAAGTCTGAAACCTTACCCTCCGCGAGAGAGGTATCGGTTCTTCCTTCATGACCCGCAAAGAGGTCAATCAGGGATGCAAAAAAAGAAAAATCGGCATAAATTCTCACCCCCGAAGAATGAGGCCGCGGAAGAGGATGTCGTAGGAACCTCCTCCTCACTATGCTGTGAACGAGAACGACTCCTCCGGGGACGAGATCGACGCGGAGACATTGCCAATCTGCAAAGCAACAAGTCAGGTACAATCTAAAATATGAATACACGAAATTTAAAAGGGAAATTGAGAACTTTAATTAAAATCCTATACATAAATAGGATTTCATAATTGAAGTCTAGTTAAACCTACAAATTTCGTGCATGCGAAACAATGATTGTCATTTTCGCGGTGAATTTTGGTGAAATACCCAAAATACCCTCCGTGTTCAAGGCCAAAATTCAGGTCAAGGACACACCCGGTTCGGGTCATGATCGTCATATCCGATCATTTAGCACCCCCGGTACCCCACCATTTTGGTTAAATTTTGCAAATAAACCCTTTTTGCAGAATTTAGCCAATCTTGCATAAAAGCCCCTCTACAAATTTTGCATTTGGTCTCCACATGCATTTATCAAAATTTGATCAGGGGCTTGGGGTTTAGACCCCTTGGATTTCAGCCTCAATTTCACAGCCCTTTTTGCAAATAAGCCCCTCCAAAACGTTTAGGGGCTGTTTTGCAAATAAACCCCTCAAACAACTCCTTAATCCTATTGCATAAAGCACCCCCCACATCCCTTCACCAAGTGGACATAAACTCAATACCCAAATTTCAGTCCCACTTTTGCAAATAAAACCCCACGAATTTCAGCCCCTATTTTGCAAATAAGCCCCCCAAAATTCGGCCATTTCACCTCTTTTGCACAAAGAACCCCAAAGTATGGTGCATACACAACCCCTAGCCTACTACAAGCCTAAAAATGCAACCTTTACAAGAAAATAAAAGGATTGTGAAAGGAAGCTTACCAAATCAAAGGAGATTTTCTTTGAGCTTGAAGATGGAGGAGAGAACCCTATTTGGGGAATGCAAGCTTCCGGCCAATGGGTATCCGCTAAAATCCAAGATTGCTTAAAGATTGATGGGTTCTTCAATGGAGGAAAGAAGTTTGGGGAAGAAGAACCTCAAAACCGAAATAGAGGGGAGGGGGTTCGGTTTTGAGCTAAGTAAGAGAGGGAACTCTCTTTTGAATTTTGAAAAGAAGGGGGGAAAACAAAAGAAGTAATGGACCAAAACAAAAGGAAAAAGAAACAAAGCAAAAAAGGGAAAAAGACAAAAGAAAAGAAGCAAGAGGGGGGGGTGTCTCGGCCCTAGAACCGAGACACCCTAGGGTGTCTCGGCCTTGGCCGAGACACCCCAAGGTGTCTCGGCCTTGGCCGAGACACCCCAAGGTGTCTCGGCCTTGGCCGAGACACCCCAAGGTGTCTCGGCCAAAGGCGAGACACCCCCGGGTGTTTTGAGTCCCGTTTCGTCCTATATGCCTGTTTTGGACCCGGATACGCCCGTTTTCGTCGATTATTGGATGTTTTGATGAAAATCAACACCAATCAACATTCGATGCACGAAACCCTAAGGGTCAACGCCGGTCAACGCGTAACCCTAGGTCAACGCCAGTCAACGCGTTGCGACAAAAGTCAACGTTCGACGATTCAAAACCCTAAGGGTCAACGCCGGTCAACGCGTAACCCTAGGTCAACGCCAGTCAACGCGTTGCGACAAAAGTCAACGTTCGAGGATGAAAATCCACACCAATCGACGTTCGACGATTCAAAACCCTAAGGGTCAACGCCGGTCAACGCGTAACCCTAGGTCAACGCCAGTCAACGCGTTGCGACAAAAGTCAACGTTCGAGGATGAAAATCCACACCAATCGACGTTCGACGATTCAAAACCCTAAGGGTCAACGCCGGTCAACGCGTAACCCTAGGTCAACGCCAGTCAACGCGTTGCGACAAAAGTCAACGTTCGAGGATGAAAATCCACACCAATCGACGTTCGACGATTCAAAACCCTAAGGGTCAACGCCGGTCAACGCGTAACCCTAGGTCAACGCCAGTCAACGCGTTGCGACAAAAGTCAACGTTCGAGGATGAAAATCCACACCAATCGACGTTCGACGATTCAAAACCCTAAGGGTCAACGCCGGTCAACGCGTAACCCTAGGTCAACGCCAGTCAACGCGTTGCGACAAAAGTCAACGTTCGAGGATGAAAATCCACACCAATCGACGTTCGACGATTCAAAACCCTAAGGGTCAACGCCGGTCAACGCGTAACCCTAGGTCAACGCCAGTCAACGCGTTGCGACAAAAGTCAACGTTCGAGGATGAAAATCCACACCAATCGACGTTCGACGATTCAAAACCCTAAGGGTCAACGCCGGTCAACGCGTAACCCTAGGTCAACGCCAGTCAACGCGTTGCGACAAAAGTCAACGTTCGAGGATGAAAATCCACACCAATCGACGTTCGACGATTCAAAACCCTAAGGGTCAACGCCGGTCAACGCGTAACCCTAGGTCAACGCCAGTCAACGCGTTGCGACAAAAGTCAACGTTCGAGGATGAAAATCCACACCAATCGACGTTCGACGATTCAAAACCCTAAGGGTCAACGCCGGTCAACGCGTAACCCTAGGTCAACGCCAGTCAACGCGTTGCGACAAAAGTCAACGTTCGAGGATGAAAATCCACACCAATCGACGTTCGACGATTCAAAACCCTAAGGGTCAACGCCGGTCAACGCGTAACCCTAGGTCAACGCCAGTCAACGCGTTGCGACAAAAGTCAACGTTCGAGGATGAAAATCCACACCAATCGACGTTCGACGATTCAAAACCCTAAGGGTCAACGCCGGTCAACGCGTAACCCTAGGTCAACGCCAGTCAACGCGTTGCGACAAAAGTCAACGTTCGAGGATGAAAATCCACACCAATCGACGTTCGACGATTCAAAACCCTAAGGGTCAACGCCGGTCAACGCGTAACCCTAGGTCAACGCCAGTCAACGCGTTGCGACAAAAGTCAACGTTCGAGGATGAAAATCCACACCAATCGACGTTCGACGATTCAAAACCCTAAGGGTCAACGCCGGTCAACGCGTAACCCTAGGTCAACGCCAGTCAACGCGTTGCGACAAAAGTCAACGTTCGAGGATGAAAATCCACACCAATCGACGTTCGACGATTCAAAACCCTAAGGGTCAACGCCGGTCAACGCGTAACCCTAGGTCAACGCCAGTCAACGCGTTGCGACAAAAGTCAACGTTCGAGGATGAAAATCCACACCAATCGACGTTCGACGATTCAAAACCCTAAGGGTCAACGCCGGTCAACGCGTAACCCTAGGTCAACGCCAGTCAACGCGTTGCGACAAAAGTCAACGTTCGAGGATGAAAATCCACACCAATCGACGTTCGACGATTCAAAACCCTAAGGGTCAACGCCGGTCAACGCGTAACCCTAGGTCAACGCCAGTCAACGCGTTGCGACAAAAGTCAACGTTCGAGGATGAAAATCCACACCAATCGACGTTCGACGATTCAAAACCCTAAGGGTCAACGCCGGTCAACGCGTAACCCTAGGTCAACGCCAGTCAACGCGTTGCGACAAAAGTCAACGTTCGAGGATGAAAATCCACACCAATCGACGTTCGACGATTCAAAACCCTAAGGGTCAACGCCGGTCAACGCGTAACCCTAGGTCAACGCCAGTCAACGCGTTGCGACAAAAGTCAACGTTCGAGGATGAAAATCCACACCAATCGACGTTCGACGATTCAAAACCCTAAGGGTCAACGCCGGTCAACGCGTAACCCTAGGTCAACGCCAGTCAACGCGTTGCGACAAAAGTCAACGTTCGAGGATGAAAATCCACACCAATCGACGTTCGACGATTCAAAACCCTAAGGGTCAACGCCGGTCAACGCGTAACCCTAGGTCAACGCCAGTCAACGCGTTGCGACAAAAGTCAACGTTCGAGGATGAAAATCCACACCAATCGACGTTCGACGATTCAAAACCCTAAGGGTCAACGCCGGTCAACGCGTAACCCTAGGTCAACGCCAGTCAACGCGTTGCGACAAAAGTCAACGTTCGAGGATGAAAATCCACACCAATCGACGTTCGACGATTCAAAACCCTAAGGGTCAACGCCGGTCAACGCGTAACCCTAGGTCAACGCCAGTCAACGCGTTGCGACAAAAGTCAACGTTCGAGGATGAAAATCCACACCAATCGACGTTCGACGATTCAAAACCCTAAGGGTCAACGCCGGTCAACGCGTAACCCTAGGTCAACGCCAGTCAACGCGTTGCGACAAAAGTCAACGTTCGAGGATGAAAATCCACACCAATCGACGTTCGACGATTCAAAACCCTAAGGGTCAACGCCGGTCAACGCGTAACCCTAGGTCAACGCCAGTCAACGCGTTGCGACAAAAGTCAACGTTCGAGGATGAAAATCCACACCAATCGACGTTCGACGATTCAAAACCCTAAGGGTCAACGCCGGTCAACGCGTAACCCTAGGTCAACGCCAGTCAACGCGTTGCGACAAAAGTCAACGTTCGAGGATGAAAATCCACACCAATCGACGTTCGACGATTCAAAACCCTAAGGGTCAACGCCGGTCAACGCGTAACCCTAGGTCAACGCCAGTCAACGCGTTGCGACAAAAGTCAACGTTCGAGGATGAAAATCCACACCAATCGACGTTCGACGATTCAAAACCCTAAGGGTCAACGCCGGTCAACGCGTAACCCTAGGTCAACGCCAGTCAACGCGTTGCGACAAAAGTCAACGTTCGAGGATGAAAATCCACACCAATCGACGTTCGACGATTCAAAACCCTAAGGGTCAACGCCGGTCAACGCGTAACCCTAGGTCAACGCCAGTCAACGCGTTGCGACAAAAGTCAACGTTCGAGGATGAAAATCCACACCAATCGACGTTCGACGATTCAAAACCCTAAGGGTCAACGCCGGTCAACGCGTAACCCTAGGTCAACGCCAGTCAACGCGTTGCGACAAAAGTCAACGTTCGAGGATGAAAATCCACACCAATCGACGTTCGACGATTCAAAACCCTAAGGGTCAACGCCGGTCAACGCGTAACCCTAGGTCAACGCCAGTCAACGCGTTGCGACAAAAGTCAACGTTCGAGGATGAAAATCCACACCAATCGACGTTCGACGATTCAAAACCCTAAGGGTCAACGCCGG